TTTTTATAAAATACTTAACATCGAAAGATTTATTGCATGAATACTTAGTAAAATGTCTCGTCTATAATTCTAACAGTCTTTTAGATAAAGTCTATAGCACAGTGAATATACGAACATTCCTTGTCCAGGATTCAAGTATATTTCTGAATTTCGCATTTTTTCTTTTCTCCCTCATATGATATTTTCTGACGTCATATGCGCTTAAATATTACATGTAACAGTATATATTGAGTGCAAAATCATTTATTGAGTTAGTTCATTCGATTCGCTTACTTTTTTCGTGTGAATAAATCAGCATTTCCGATCGATACTTGGTATCAAATATCAAAGTCATCCTGAACCTGTGACAAAATCTGATTTGAATTTTTTTTTAAATCATTAAAATGACCGATGAATTTAATCGATATTATATTAAAATTCGGACAATTCTAGAAACAGATGCAAAGACAATTTGTGAAGAATTACAACAGCATTGGGACCTGATGCTCCAGCATATTCAACTGGATTCTCGTCACCATCTAGAATATTAGGTATTTGGTACAAATGTGAATATATGACTGAAAATAACCCGATAAACAAAGTTAACACAATTTATTACTATTTCGTCCCTAAATCTTTTTACCATTGCGAAGAATAATCCTTCTTATCATCTTAGACTATTATGATTGAATTGAACGGAAAATGATTGTTGGTAGCATTTCAAATATGTAGCACAGTTTTGTTGGATTTTGTATTTGAGTCAGTCAAATTCATCCAACGTATAGTAGAATAAGAATTATGAAACGTTTGCGACTTATGCAAAAGTCTCAAAATGCTTATTCTTAATTTTGCCCTTCAACTCATCGAATGTTATATAATGGAATATACGCAGCCATTCGATGGTTTCAAAAGATCTATGGGTAGTGGAAGAGTATGCAGACAGGATTTAAACTTTTCTTATCGTAGTTTTGTGAAAAAACAACAACTTTCAATTTTAGTGTCATTAACTATGGTTAAAAATACACTTTTGAATAATGGAACGCATCAGTCACTAGTTTCAATAACAAAAAAATAAACTCTAAATATTGGAAAAACCGCTGCGTTAAATGTTGCTTTTTAATTTATTAATTAATATGCGAATTACGAGCAGAATTCTGACTCGGATCTAGTTTATGACCGAAAACTTTGTATCTCCGCAGTCTGCACTAAAAACGAAATATGTCATCCGATAGAGATGAATGCAATGAACAACTTTTGCAGTGACATAAACTTTCCAAAAGGCTTCGTTGATGTGAGCGACTGCGCAAGAAATACTTTTTGCACCAAATGCAAAATAGCTTGGAAAATCGACTTTTTTGGTTTTTAAAAATTGCACCACTCCGCTAAAACTCGTGAGTTATTGCACACGTATACCCTTGAAGGTGTCCTCTACTCTTAAAATAGGCTTATATTAAACACATTATAAAGAGATACCCTGAAGAGCTTTTATTTTAATAAAAATGAAACCGGTCGGTAATCAATTTTTAGAATCAAACAAACACTCAATTCTCCCTTGCGTGTCATTAGTGCTTTTACAGCCAGTCTCTTTCTAGAAGATTAGGTGTGTTGTAAATACGACCTCCTCCTCTTTTATTTTTTCGATTGAATAAAAAGCCTTCAAATCACTGTTGAGACTAAGCTGTGTTTTTAAATAAAAACCACTTGTCTTTCATCTTTCTCACCTCTTCATATAATTGATAAAAACGAGTCTAGACCGAAACCCGAATAGGCCTGAGTCTTAACCGTTTTTATATTATATTTCGATCGAAAAATTTCACCACTCCGCTAAAACTCGTGAGTTATTGCACACGTATACCCATGAAGGTGTCCTCTACTCTTAAAATAGCACTATTCGTTCATCTACAAATTTTATCTGAATTTATTAGAGGAATCGTTGGATGTTATTCATAGAAATATCTTGCATTTCGATAGTTTTTACTTTAAAAAAACATCTAAATATAAAATATATCTGAAAATCTGTTGTTACTTTACTACAAGTGCCAGGATGACCACCGTGTAGTGCGTATATAAGAGACATCATGTTTTCTTGTATTCATCATCTTACAACTACTATAATAAAGCAGAAAAGGAAAAAGAAAAGCATACAAACAAAACTTGTTTTGCAGGGTTAAAAAAGCGAAGATGTTGATTTCTTTTTTTGAGCAAAAACATGCACCATTGATCCTTAAAAGAAAAGAATGACACTTATTTCATTGCTTTTTGGGCAAATGACAAAACACACGGACAAGTTTAGAAAGACACATCATAAAAAAAACAACAGAAGAAACGAACAAACTATTCTAACATCGAGCTTTGTTTTATTATCAATGGTACAAACACACACACACACACAAAGAACCGGACAATTTATCGAGAGAAAAAAACCAGAACATTTCATTTTTGAAAACACACGTACCGAAAGTCGAGTTACAATAAATTCCGATATTACAAACTGTTCAAACTAGAAAAAAGAAAATTACGCGTGTATACACACCTTTGAAAGACCTATTGTAACAAAACTGTTTTAGAAAAAAAACTTAATACGCAGTGTGATAAAAATTTTAGAATAATGCAAAAGTTGTTGTTTGATGAACGACATACGCATACGATGCACACAAAAAAAAATCAACCCGTTTTTAATAAATGAAAATTCATAGATAATATCGTATAACATCACATCTCCATTGGAAACAGATCGTCACCCTCTATAAACAGATAAAAAAGAATGATAAGTATTATTAATATTAAAACAAAAGATGTAAGTCCTTTCTTCTGTCTCAAACTCTTATGCTTTTAGAATCGAAGACACCATCCTCCTATGTGTTTTTTTGTAAAAAGTTTTGGAAATATAGCAAATATATAACATTACTTTCAAATTAAAATACCTTTTTTTGGTTTCAAATCTGTTTTTCCTTTTGTTTCATTCTGTTGTTGTTGTTGTTGTTGTTGTTGCGGTTGATTAGTATTGTTGTTTCCACTACTGTTATGTTTACTGTTTTCAGACAACGATGTTACTGACAGTGATGGTATTTTTTTATTACTACCAGCTGTTCCATTTTGTAGAGTTCCTGTTCCACTTCCGGCAGGATTTGGAATTAACGTTACTTCGGGTATAAATGGTAAATTCACTGGTGGACTACGAGTCAATGGACTATCACGTCGTGATAATAAAAATTGACGATCATAATAAATTCTTGTACCACCTGGTGTTGTTGAAAAGATACTTCCACCCGGTGTTGTACCATATGATAGAGGCATTTCCGATGGATCATGGACAGTTAAACGTCGAATTGGAATACCTTCACTCATCTTAGCAAATCAAAGTGGATATAAAAACTAATCTAGAAAATGAAAAAATAAAATAATCTAACTGTGTCATAGACTATTTGTGAGAGATAAACTTTAATTTTTCAAACTGCTACAGAAACGATGATTTCCTATTTTCAATTTAACCTTGCTACATCAAGGAAAAACAAAGATAAATTATGTCTTTTATACTAGACAAATATTATCAAAGTAAAAAAACCAAAATATAGAATATCGTTTCTATAAATATCAAAATAAATACCAACAAAATACATATGACAACACGTGTTACGTACTTCGACTACATAATGCCTATTTTTCGTAGTTCCACAGTCCACTATTAATCGAATAGTTTGATTGGGGTTAAAACTTTAGCCGTACGTAAGTACATTCGGTAGATGTCATTGTCTTACCCAAGAAAACTTTCTGTCACTTAAGACAAAATGGACTTCTATCTAAAATTGAAGGTTTCGTTGCCGTTTTGAACAACTTTTGACAGGAGATAGCTAGAGACTTGCGGTTTCGCCACTGTGAAGGCGAGACTTTATCGTGTCTGTCTTAAGAAAAAAAATGTTGAAAATCTATGCTGAAAGTATGGGAATCCTTGAGAAGTCGAACTCTTTGGCTGTCATTTTTTCGCTTCCTTTTCTTCTCTTTCTTCTTCTTTGTTCTTCTCTTTTACAGCAAATTCCTTCTGCTCTCAATTCAGACTATCCAACAACGGGTGAACTCGGCTTCTCCGTGCCGTTGAGAATTGTTAATTTCGATGTTGGAAAAAAGCCTGCTGTTGGTATACCCTCTTTCTACCTCTCGTCTTGTTCCACCTCTTTCACCTTACCTGCATGTACTTGTATCTGTGTCTTTCATTTATCAGCATATGTTGTTCGTATTCAGAAGAATCTAGGGCGTTGGCCACGTTACAGGTCCATTAAATGCTTTTTAATGGATCATTAACTTGTCGTCAATTGACATTTTTTAGCCATTCGACACAATTTTTTGACGTTTCAATGTACTTAAACTGGCATATTTCAATGCCAAAAAGTGGCAGTTCTATTACGATCAAAACGTGGACATTTTCTAATGTTCGTTTTAACCCTAGAGGACAGAACGTACTTGATGCAAGTACCAGGTTACCTGATAAGTACTGTTTGGAAAAATTGGCAAGTGTTTTTAAAATTTCTCACTTACTGTACTTTCAGAAGTACTTCTCAATGATAAAAATGCTTGCTTTTATTGCTAAGAAGTACTTTGTGAAAGTCCTTGGCAAGTAAGGGCTTTTTAATAACGCTAAGCCGAAAGGGGAATATATTGCATCATTATGGGTTGTTAACAATATATTGTTCGAACACTTTCCGACGTCAGTTTTTTTCTGTCTAGTAATCTCACAAAGACTGAATTCACAAATTTCAATATTTTTGGTACCCAAGATACCATTACTGATATCAGTCCTAGAACTAAAAACTACCTTCTTGAGACAAGTTTTGATGACTTGTATAACCGAAGAAGAGCAAATTTCTAACTTTTTTGTATTCTAACTGTATCCACAATGACATGCTACAGACAGTTAATGGGCAATGTCAATTTTAGTTTTAGGTACATACAGTTAAATGGCTGTTTTTAGTCCGTGATACACAGTAAAATCGAGGACAGGAAACAGTCACTGTTAAGGAACTGTTTTTTAACAGTTTTTATCCGATTAAAAGTTAGTTTTTCGTTATGCAGTTGATAGGCTATGCATGAGTTATTAAATGACAATTTTTCTTGACTAGGGATTTAATAACTGTTTTTGGATTATTATTGATAGTTAATAGCCAATTTTCCTTGGTTGATTTCTTTTCGATAAATACTCTTAAATAGAGTAGAAATTAAGAATTAGCTAATCAGAATCTTAACTGGGGAGAATAAACTAGAAACTGAGTTGTTAGTAATCACTTACATGCACTTAACACTAAACTCAGATGTTAGTAGTTCATCAGCCAAATGCTACAACGACCGCTTCGAAACATCGGACGGTCTTGATATTGTGCACTGTAATCTTGAATTAATTTCTGGTTTATCGAAAATCAACTGGAAAATCTCTGAAGAATTTCTATTTTACAGAAATTCCTCGCCGATTCTCCCACTTTATATAGAAATTGTGGAATTTTTACTTACTGGAAAATCGTCTTGAGTTTCCATAAATACGAATTTCTATAAAACTGGAAAATCGATAAGCGTTAAGCTTCGGATTTTTAGCCCTTACTGCCCCTAAATTTTAGATTCTTATTTAGAAGTTACGTCCGTGTTGAAGGAAACTGCGTTCTGTCTTGGCGATTTAGTATTTTATCAGTTATTTGTTTTGAAGAGGTTCTGTAATGTTTGTTCCCTAGTCGACCGATCTTACGGCAATTCTATAGAAATCTTATAAGAATCTTACATAAGATTTGATCTCTAGGGTTATATGGTATTGTTGAACATACGGTTATGTATTGGTTTGTAAGGAGGTGAACAGCGTCTTAAGATTACCCGACAGTTCGGCGCCAACATTTGGGTGCACGACATTTAGGCGCAGCGACGTTCCGGCGCAACGGCATTTGGGCGCATGTACGACAAAAGCATTGAATAAGAGTGCATTTGTTAAAGTATGATGCATAACGATAAAAATTTCCTTAAACAAACTTGGTACGATGTCAGAGCTTTTCTATATTACTCATATCCCACTGTAATCACTTTTTGTTTAATCTTCATCAGTACTCACCCACACTCACACCCTCACCGGCGCCTTTGAATCTCAACTATCGTTGCGCCTAATGTTGTTGCGAACAATCCTCAGACTTGCGTGACGTTCAATTGATTGTAATTGACATCAGTTAAGAATACCTGAAATTAATTTATTTTCTTTCTCCAAATAGTAATCTTCATTGAGCACATCAAATCCATGTCGATACAAATATGTG